GGGGGGGGGGGGGGGTATCCATTGTAACATAGTTGTGCCCGAATCTAAGCTTGTTGGTGGCTGAACTCCAGATATTTTAAGGTGCTAACGGAAGATGGTGTGGTACAGGTGCCTCATGTATTTGATATGCATCATCCGAGGATGCCTTTGCCCCATGAAATGGCTCAAGAACCTGTTTTTGTCAATGCCAAGCAGTATCATGGTATTTTGCGGCGGAGAGAGTCACGTGCCAAAGCAGAACTTGAAAAGAAGCTGATAAAAGTTAGAAAGGTTAGTAGTGTTGCCTCATCCACTGTGCTGCTTGTTGGGTGTTCTTTTCTCCTGTTCGTGTTTTTTATAAGTTCTCTCAGTTATTAAAACCACCCGAGAAGTGGTTGTACGTATTCCCTTGTTCGGAACAGTGACTTACCACTGTTTGGCTGAGCTCATTTTTCATTTAAAGAGAGATGCAACTGTTTAACTGGTTGTTTAACCCCCCCCCCCCCTTTCCCTTCCCCAGGCACCACCCCCCAAATGGAGTAAGGTAATGTCATATTACTCTTCTTTTATGTGTGCATAGTGTTGTTTCCCACTTTACTTTTTTCCACTGTTGAGTCGAAAACACCACTCATAAATCTAATTTGGTGAAAGGAACTCTTTAGGCCAATGTTTTGGTTATTAATACCATTATGAGTTTCTCTGTCGCTGTATTTTTCTTTTGAATTCACAAGATTGGCTGAAATGGTTTTGCACGAATTCATGCTGGTCATATGTGAGATGTGCTCGGTTTATTCTGTTTACTCATCCTCATTACTGATCAGTGGCCGATCCACCCTTTAGGGTGGGGGTGGTATGGCACCCGCTTGGTTGGTAAATTATCATATATTTATGTAGAAATTTTCATAAACTAGGTTAAATATTTGATCCTACCACCCCCAGTCACAAACTAGACAAAGGAGCCATGACTGGTAAACCTTTTTGAAAGTTTTCTCAGAGTATAAAATTCAAGTTCGAATTTATCTTGAACCTTGTGTGACTTGCCCTTTTCGTTGTGCTATTAATTTCCTTTGTCCCAGTCATTTTCCTTTTTGGATACCTCTTAATTTCCTATTTGTCGTTTATTATTTTTTATATTTTCCCTCTGTTCTATTATTTTATCTGTGATTAAAAGTACTCAAAAAAGATCCTCCAAAATTTAAAATTTCATAAAATAAGCATTTCTAAATCTTTTAGGTTTTTTCTTTCAAAATCAAAACCTGGGCCTTGATCGGAATTTTAGATAGAGATCAAATTTAATTTTTATACTTTTTTTATTTATGATTCTTAAATACAATTTAAACTCTTTATTATTAAATTATGATGAATATTTCGTAAGCATTGCCTAGAAAAATATGAGATTTATGATTTTAATTTTTGGGATCTTGCAGTTTATCTAATTCTGCATTTACTTATGGGGTATAATTTATCTATTGAAAATATTATTTTTATTTTTCTTATTCTGATTGGTGGAATTCCCTTATGAGGATGTTATTTTACTTGTGCAAATTAATTTTTAGCATACAAAACAAGATGTAGTTCCCTAGTGAAAATACAGATTTTACTTATATTGTTAATAATAAATGTGTGATTCCTTCTTTAAAATGCTAATTACATTTGCTTTCTGATGTATGTCTGAGATGTAATTTTTATAAAAAAATAATACTTACACCTAGTGAAATTCACAAGTAGGATATGGGAAAGAGATATAATTTTCATATTTGTAAGTCAAAAATGTCTATTAAATTGCCAGAATAAACTAAAAAAATGAATCGAACAAACTTTCGAACAAACTCTATATTAGTTATTACAAGGTATACATTAAAGGAAATTGTGGCACCCGCAATCTTCAAATCCTAAATCCGCCTCTGTTACTGATACTTCCTCTCTTCCTCGATAATACAGCCATATCTTCACGAGTCTCGACATCAGCATGCTTTGAAAAGGGCAAGAGCTTCCGGAGGGCGTTTTGCAAAAAAGTCAGATACTGATACTTCAAAGGGAACCGGTTCTGGTTCTGGTTCTAAGTTCTAACCCGGATCTTTCTGCGTTGTGAGGTTTAGTACTTTGGCAGAGGGACTGAATCTTATCTGATCATATCAGTAGTTATATGTTTCAGTCTTGGCTTGTTCGAGACTGGTGGCAGTTCATCCTTGGCTTTTTATTTCAATGTTATGGGAAGGAGAGGTTGTCCGCGTTGTAAATTCAGTTCTTCCCTTCTGTATAAAAAAGAAAACGGGTTAGGACTAGCGTTGAAAAGGAACACTTTAGTAGGCATATGGCTACTAAATGTAGTGTAATTTAATGGGTATGTAAAGTTGTAGGTAGGTTGTATACTTGTCACATTTCCTTTCTGTTACTGTATCTTAGGATCCTGATTTTGTGGAACTTCTATTTTGTTTATTTAATTTGATGATAGTGGCATTGTGTTTCGGGGCTTTATGATGACGGTAGAATCTGGAGTATCTCTCAAGTGATGAAATTCGCGTAAGCTGGTCTGGACACAGTCGGTTTGGGAAAAAAAAAAAAACGGTTTGTAGCGTGAGGTGAAAGTTTGTGTGCAATGGTCAGTGATGTTGAACTTTGTATTGGCTGTGTGAGGTAGAGGTAGCTCATATATAGGAATAGGGAGTGAGTGCTACAGTAGATTGATCCGCAACATAAAGCTAGTCAATTTATGAAAAATTCTCATAATAGAGAATGTGGAGAGAAACTCTATACATCAACTAGCGTGGAATCAAAGCATAGTTGTTCGTTATACTTGGCAGGGAGTCAAGTGTTGAGCAGGATCAATCTTGATTTGACATCTTTAAAGAACTTGAACAAGTAGAACTATACTTAAAGATACCACAACTTAACAAAAATAATGCTCTCTTTATTTCATTTTATATCTCACTCTTTACTTATTAATTTTGTCCCAAAAAAAGATACATTTTTATATTTAAAAATAATTTAACTTTAAACTTTCTATTTTACCTTTAATGATATACTTCTATAGAGATAACATGTCTAAGACCAAAAGTTTTTCTTCATGCACGATCAAACATTGCCATATATATGGTAAGAATTTTGAGTATTGTTATCTCCTTTTGCTGGCTATATAACGTTATTTCCTGCTTGCAGTTAGGCTCTTACATTGATTGATGGAACCAACAACTTTGTTCATCAAGGGCAATGTACAAGTTGACATAAATTGTGGATTTCTTGCTATCAAGCACAAATACTTTTTAAGTCTTGAAACCAAGCTTCGCTTGGGGGACTCACCCTTCTCTTCTCTCGAATTTGGTTAAGTTGTGCCAAATAGAGTTTCGGTATTATACTTGACGATAAAAGAAAATCAGAACAAAAAAAAAGGTATAAAGATAGTTGATACCAAAAACAAAATCTTGAAACCATATGATTCAAACATTTATAAATTACAAGTCACTTTGCTGATGATCACTATCTTCTACATTTCCAGTAACATCCCCAATCTCATCTTTGGGAATGGTTTCTTCGTCTAGGTCATCTGGGAAATTAACGTTTTCACTGCTACTTTTGCCATCAGGTGCATTATCATTAGACTCGGTGACATTGACCACGGTTTCCATCATCCCTGACAGAGCCTGTCTAGGAGACCACTCAAGCACATCATCGATAATGTTCGAAACTCGCCTCTGATACCTGCAAGGAAGATAAAAAAGAATTTCAGTTTCAGCAGGGTCTATCACAAAAAATCAGTATGTCCGAAAAACAGAAAGAGAATTTATATAGCAGAATAAAAGAACAGATTCGAAACCCCAGGGATTTGGTTTTGGTCTAGTGGTAAAGGCGCAGTGCGTTATCTGTGAGTTAGGTACATGTTACGAGTTAGAACTCTTTGCCAAAGCCTAAAGCTCCACTGTGTTTCGAACGAATCGAACCATACGCCAATTGGCCCTCGGAAATTTCCCGGTTAAAAAGAGAAGGGACAGATTCGAATCAGAAGCCTCCACTAAATTGCTGGCCCGCGGTTCCTAGGTTGACTAAATCAATTCTCAAAATATGACACCCTTTTTTTCTATAACCATGAACTCACCGACCAGTGGTACATAGTTCAAAACTCAAGGGATAACAGGTCCGCTTCTCTACCCTTCTCCACTTAAATACAGTTTTTGTTTGCGGCAGAGTACGAACCCGTGACGTGCACCTAACCACACATCATGTGCTGCACTATTATCATTAACCAAAGCCCTGGCGGCTTCTCAAAATATGAAACTAAATTGCAAGTTATTTGCTTGTGAAGTTAATCTGTATGAAGATCCAGAATCTAGTGCATCGAGATTGTTTCCATGAAATCTCAACATATACAAATTGATTTTTATTCTGTTTCCTCAAATGAACTCGTAGGCTTAAGAGATAAAAATGCAAGCAAGCAAACCTGGCTCTTGCAGCCTCATCAGGAGCGTGATGCCTCAGAAGCAAAACAACAAGCACAGCTACTATTGCATAGAAAAGTCTTGCTGTCCACTTAGGTCGCTCGCCCTCATCCTTCTGAGGCCAAAACTGGAACAAATCTTGCAGTGTTGCTTCCTCGGCAAGAATGTTGGGGAAGAACCAGACACGCTTTCCAAAAAGTACCCATATGGCACCAAAGATCAAAGCTCTTACTACAAGCATAAAAAAAATTCTTTTGTAATGGCAGTTTACGTCAAATTTCAAATAGCAGACTCAAAAATACATGACAAGCTTGAAGACCATGACTTGAACAGCCCGAGCCACCATTTTACAACAGAAAAAAGTTACACGTAAATAAAGGAAATATTACAGGCACCACTACTAGCAGAAGTGCTTTAATAAAATTTGTCAATGTGTGCCATTTAGATTAGAGGATTCAAGTGAAGGATAACAAAATATGATTGGCAATTTCCATAAATCTGTCATAGACAAAAATAGAAAAGAAGCTTTCATAGGGTTTCTATGATAAAGACCAGTAGGAGTATTTTAGAATTAGAAAATTCTAAGCAGTTGGCTGACTGAAATTGTTGGACAAATAGATCAAGGCCTGACTCCACAGTAACAGGTAGAAACGGAGTTGAATATATTTACTTTTAAGCCTATAAGAAAAAAGCAAATGAAAAAAGTACCGTCGAAAGGTTTTCCATGTGAGAAACATGTAGGGCAATATAACTTAATTTTCTTTTTTACGTTTCCTCTACATATGAATGGTAGACTGTACCTCCAGTCGCTAATCTCAAGCAAACAAAGATTTTTTTGCTTCGTAGTCGATCAAATAAATATTTGGTGTTTGAGTGATATATAAAACAGCAAATCTTTGTAAGTAGGTTAAGGTTTAATACACTTCTGTTCCACCCTTTGCAACTATGGATGATTGCACTAGCTTTGGTGCAGTTAATATATAAACAACAAATGTTACCTTCAAAAAAAAAACAAAAAAAAAAAAAAAGCAAATCGTCAAAAGTTGTGATGCTATCAATGATAAGTGTGGGAAGTCCAAAATGTACTTGATGATTGAAGGACCTATCGACTTGCTAAATTATTCGATGCATCCCCCATGTCACAATATTACGTTTGTCAGAAGCTGTTAATTTTTTCAAGTATTAGTGTGGCCACATCACGGTGCATCATACAACTCTACACACAAAAATGAAGCTGAATAACAAAAATATGAGAAGTGAAAGGGTAATAAGCACCAAATACTTACTGAATAGCAGACAAAGTATGAGGAGGAGGAGACCGGCGCATGAGTATAGTATAAGCAATTTGACTGAATGGGGATAAACAGGAAACAAGCAGATTGCTAACGTCAATACCGGCCAGAAAAATGAGAGAAGTGTTTGCCACAAGGGTCTCTTATTCACAAATGTCCATGCAAAAAAGGCGTCATTTTCAGAAAATGCTTGATCCTGCACAACACCAATTGAACAAAATAACATCAAAAAGTTGTAAGAAAACTATTGAAAAAGAATCATTCTAGGGTAAACAAGAAATCAAAATGTGGAAAATTTGTATAGAAGTAAAAAGCTCTTAAAGATAAAGAGAACACTTCCTAAAGAAGTTTGCTCCAAAAACACCATTTTTGGATGTCTAACTTCTTAGGTGGAATGTACACTTCTCTTTTCTTCTTCTGCTATCTGGAACAGGAAGTTAGTAATTGACAACCAGCCTTTAGTTACAGCTTCATAACTATTGAGCAATCACAACATGAAGATCATGGATCACGAAGAAAGATATTTATGGAGGGTAGCTTCTGTTACCATTTAAAAAAAAAGATAATTTATGGGGTAGCTTGTCAGCAACTGCTGGAGGCCCTCAGCAAAGAGGCACTTCACCATTGAAGTGTTTATTATTGTTTTTTCTTCTATGTGGGAGACAATTTCAGTAATAGACAGAGAGGGGAAAAAACAGGTAAAAGAATATAATGGTTGCGATCATTTAAATCTTTAATTTGTTCAAGAACTGCTTTAAAAGGCAAGTGTGTGGGTAGGGTGTAAGCTGTAGAAATTTTATTTTCAATATGCTATAAGACAAAAATAATTTTAAAGAGCAAGAAAAAGTGAAACTGTATGTAAAATTGTAGAAAATCTAAAAATAATTACCAAAGAAGGTGAAAATAACTTTCACGTTTAGATTTTTTGATAAAGTAAAAACTTTCGTTCGTAGACATCCAGAGGAGGCAAACTATACAGAATTGACTCCTATGTAGAAGTGGTAGAGACAGAGAGTCCACAAAAGCCAGAAATTGATTCAAATCATTAACATCAAAAAACTTTTCCCAACTGTGCAGATTCAAAAGACATCTAGCTATCAAAGCTGAGATTAAGGTTAATTCTCCTTCGAAGCATCTTCTATTCCTTTCTTTCAATATTGTTCAAAAAATACAGCTGGGGATGGACTGCCACAGCTTCCTCTCGTCCTTCTGAATTTTCCAAAGAGTCCAGCTGCTGAAGGTTTCCTTTATTCCATTAGCTGTGACCAACTGCAAACCAAAAGGGTTCAGGAACATATTCCAAGCTTCCTTTGTTACGTTGCAAAAAGGTCTCAAGCAACTTACACATTCTGACGGAGGTAACATCTATTGCTTAGTTTGAATCCTCCATTCATTAGATTGTCCTTGGTAAGAAACGCCTCATGCATCAGAATCCATGTGAAGCAATTTACCTTTATGGGGGCCTTTGTTCTCAGGAAGATTTTCCAAGGCAATTACATATTTAGTAGCATAAATATTTGCTGAAATATTACCACTGCTGGCTGATATATTTCTATGGGCCTATTCCAAGTGGCAGAGTAGATATTCTTGTCCTCCATAGAGATTGCATTCCATGCTTGGCACAATTACTTTTCTCCACCAAGTCTCTTATTGATATTCTTTTTCATAACCAAGAAACCCCGTGGGGCAGTGGCACACCATTTGAAACACGGTGGATCATGGGCCCGCCGCCCCTCTATCCTTCTCCACTCAA